CTCTCTCTCTCTCGTTTCTCTCACTCCATCCGTCTCACTCGAGATTATTATATTTTCGTCGTTGTTGCGAAAGATACGGGACTAGCAAACTCCGTCGCTCCGAGGCGCGCCGCGCACTCGGAAGCGATTTCCGCGCGGCGGATTTCTGTGCGGCTGACGTTGCTTGCAGTTCGCGCCTCGATAACGGGCCTCCTCGCGGATAGCCGCCGCGGCCCGCGGATAATCAGGACGATGGGATTCGAACTTTGTCACGTCACTTGTTTACGAGACCGAGTCGCTCGAGTCGCTCGGTCTGGTGCGCGATCCCGCCGATCGCTCGGCTCAGGCAAAGTCGTCGGCTGACTCTCGTCGGGAGACGTAGCGCATCATCCCACTCTATCTGCCTTAAACCGCCGTTATGCAGGTAGTACCGTCGCGTTGGACCCATTACGTAAGCCTGGCAGCCTCTCCCGAACGGTTCAAACGTTCTTAAACGAAGTGTTACAGTCTCACCTCGAGGACTATTTGCCGTATCTGGGTGGTGCGGCCGGCGCTCTCTTCGTCACCGGGGTGGCTTACTGGGCTTCCAGACCGACGGCCGAGAAACCGCTCTTTCCGCTCGATGCTCAGGCACTGCTTCTATCGGTAAGGCACCCTTATAGAAATTTAATACCGGGAGCGTGTAGTGATTAATTACTCATACTTCGAATATTAAAAAAACACTTGTCTTTTCTAGTCTGTTCTTAATACACAAGATAAGTAATTTCCAGTATTGGCCAATATCATATTGGACTTCTGTAACAGAAATATGTACATCACGTGTTCGCACACAGCTACGAATTCTTCCGAACGATTGAATTCCTCGAAAATTGTAGCAGCAAATAAGATGTCGCTACGTTACAATCGAGGATCCCCTTCTATTAACTCCTTTTCGCGAGGTCTCATATTTTTCTCCTTTGTGACTCTTTCCGCTCGTAATGTCCGAACGTATTTTTGAAAAGCTTAACAACGAAATTGGAAGGAACAGACCTAGTTTTGATCCACTTTGAAATATATAGGATCACATCCTTCCGATTGAAACTTAGTATTTTTCTTCAACTGGAAAGACAGGATTTTATTGAAAGAACGAAAATATTTTAATTGCGATGGCCTTCAGAGATTTAATGGACTTTTATCGATTTACCCGTATTTAGCAAGGAATGTCGATAGAAGTCAGAATGACAATGACTCATGTCTATTTTTCAAGAATAGAACAAGGTAAAAAAAAATTAAATACAAGATCGAAATTAATTTACATCGGAAATGGATCAGTCTACTATAAATCCTACTTTA